AAAATCAAACACCTCTTTTTTGGTAAGACCATGTGCTGGTATCCACATATTGTTACTGACAAGCAGTTCAGAGTTCATAATGAGAAATTATGAGAGAGAAATGGTAAACGAACCATTGTATAGCCCCTATTGCAACATCAGAACCAAGACTACTCTTTACTTCTATGCAGGAACAAAGACTAGAGAATACTTCCAGTTATGGATTATGTCCATCAGTGATCCCATCTTTGCTATTTCTCTGGTTATGGAGCATGGGCCAGTATTTGGGCTCTGGCAATCCTAATTCTCAATGTTAGTGACTGACTGCCAGAGAAAATAAGTCTGTGACAGAAATCTGCACATAATGATTCCAAAACTTATCAGCACTTTTGAGGACTTAATTAATTATATGGTGACAAATGCCCCATGAACACCCCCCCCCACCCCCCCCCAAGGCTGTTTAGGACATAACAAGTACATTACTTTGCTTGCCTGATTTTGCTGCTTTCTGCATTTTTCTGACAGTCTTACATTCCTGCCTGCCACTACCCACAAGTATATTTCTTTGCTGCCCAGATTTAGTCAGCAGACAAGCTGTGTGATGCACTATGCATTCACTGAATATGCGCAGACATGTGCTTGTTTACCAGATTAACAACCTCCAGGATCCCGTTGGATCTGAATTCCTAGCAATGAGTAGCTGTTCCCAGCAGTGTAATTTGGAGCCCCTTTGTGAATCCCAGCTCCACAAGGTGGCTCTCTACTCCTTTAAAAATACCACTGCATTTGTGGATTAAACACATCCGAGAATGATCTTGAGGATGATCTTCAGGGCTTTATAGATGCCTAATGCTATAGAGGAACCCAAGATCCCTTTAGTATGCTGTGTATTTTTCTTTCTGTAAAGCTGGAAACTAGACAAAGTCTGACAAATATTAAAGTATTACAATTTGAAGGAATGTTTCATGTTAGCTGCCCAATAAGAGGGATGCAACCTCTGCTAGTATGGACAGAGAGATAGCAGCTTGATGCTCCTCAGGAAAGAGATCCCTCCTTTGAAGGCCAGGACCCACAATGAGGTCTTTACTTGACTCCAGCCAGGACTTCAGCATCCCCAGGCAGACCTCCCAAATAATTTTGTTGCTGACCACATTAGCATGGCTTCAGATCACATGAGAAGGCTGAACCCAAAGAGTTTTACCTCCTAGAGCAGCTCATCTGAACGTGAGGTCCTCCCCTGTGGTCTGTGTCTCCAAACATCCCTGATTGGGTGATCATCACAGATGATTACCAGCTCTCTGTGGCACGGAGAGTCACAGGTGAAACTGGAACGAGACTGTGGCACTGCAATGTACCTGTCTGAGACAGGCTGGGTGGCAGCACATGTGCAAAGCAGAAGCTGATGGTGCAAACCCAGAACTTGGTGTGTAAGACTGGATAAGTCTGCCCTCCCTCCTGGGTGCAGTATTGATACTTTCAGTAGTCAAAATTCAACTTCATGCTGCTCACATCCTAAGAACAGCTTAAGAAAACCTGAGTAAACTTTGGGAAAAATTTACCTGCTTTCTGTCATTTTGGATGTTTGAGGTCATATTTTCAGGTTTTCCACAGCAGGGCTAGAAATGTATTTAAAAAACAAAATTTGAGAGCTGAAGCTGTATAATAAACACTATTGCAGGGCAATGTTGGGTGTGTCTAAGCTGTAACGTTAAATTCATTCTTCTTGTCGCTTCCTTCAAAGCTCCACAGAGCTCAGCCCCTCCCTGGTTATCCTCCTCTGCCGAGCTTGCTGCAACCCCTACGCTTCGCTGCTGTTCCCACCTTTGTCCCTTCTCCTGCTGGATCCTTGCACAATTGCCTCTCTGCGCCCTTGCCTCCACCGCACTGCTTCTTGGCAGAGCTTTCCCCCTTGACCCTTTCTATAGTGTGGTCTCTTCTGAAGATCAGTTGGAGTGAAGCCATGGGCTTCTTGTTTTCCTAATTTCCCTTCTGGTTTTTGTCTGTCTTTAAACACAAGTTCTTCCATGGAGAGATGGTGCAAAAATGAAATTGTGGATGCTAATAACTATGTATATTTTCTATAAAATTGAATCTGGTAGATCTGCCCTGTGTTCATCTGCACGATCTTTGGAGCAGCTGAGGTTGCTTTTCTGCTCTAACTCTTTGTAGTAGGTGTCTGACCATGGATAAAGACTCTGGGGATAATCTCTGCTACAGAAGTTCGTATCTTGGAGCCAGCACAATTTCACGAGCAATATCCCGAAGGATAGGCCAAGGGACATGTCTTTCAGTCCAATATGTAGTTTTTTACATTTTCACATGTAGAAAGTCTGCAGTCAAGAGCCAGAAATGTGATATCAGCAATGGAACTCAGTTCATTAAAAATTCAAATCAATGGAAACAACAGGATGTATTATTTATCTAAGCCTTGAATCAATCTGACTACTATGCATAATGATCTTAATTAGAAAAGTGAGCCGAAGCAGGAAGACAGTCTGTCTCCTGGCTTTGAAATTATCATACCCCTATCAGTATGCTTGGGTAACTTGTAATTAGGGACAAAGGTTACACATAATTTTATATGCTGAAAAACCGGTTTTATACATGTCATTTCAAAAAATATTTAAGAAATAGGTATAAGACTTGCTACCCCTATTATGCTTTGATTTTTTGCTACTAGATTACTAGTCTGCACTAATTAGTTGATGGTCTTAAGAAATACTGATAGAAGCTTTGCATTTATATAGAGCCTGGATACTAATAAGTAACTAGCTCTATCAGTATTAGTCTTTGTACAACTTCCCTTCCAAAGTTTGGTAGTTTTTCATATCTCTCTTTCACCTGCATGGAAAATGCAGCTCAGAAAAGCAGCGTGGCTTGTCCAAAAGCAGAGAGTAAGTGCGTGCCTGTTCAAAAACTTTACTGGCACGTTACACCAGTATGCCCAGAATTACACCAATACAGTTCCCCATGCAGTCACCCACACTTTTCTTCTTGTCGTGCTTATCTTCCTGCCACTGAATATGAAGGGTTCTGGTTTTGACAAATTGGCAGAGTCCTGTGATTACGCTTTCTTTAACAATTTTTTTGACCAGCACTAATTAGAAAACAGATGTCCTAACTCTGAGGTCCTGCCTCATCAAAGCAGTCACTTCCACACTTAATTTAAACAAGCTCTTCAATTTCGTTAAATCCACTGAGCAGGCCCACTGCCTGCTCACAGTGTCGAGTCACACATGAGCACCGCTCTCTAGTAGGAGCAATGCCTCATCTTCTGAACTGGAACACAGCTCTTCCTGTTTTCTCACAGATACAGCTACCCTGATTTTTTTCAAGGTTGTATTTTGTCTTAGAAATTCATTAGAAAAAGATCAAACTCTTTCTGTCACACGAAATGGCCCTGCTTTCCCAGAACAGTATTTCCACAAACAAAAAATATGGAAATTAAAATCACAAGTAGGATCTGTTCCATCAAAGTATTAGCTACATTTCTGTGAGGTTGACAATCACCTTTTTAACATGTCAGGAATTATATGCGTAATTCTCTTTAATGGGTGTTACAAATGCTCATCCCACACTGAAAAAAGATCACAGTTGGTATGAGTAATAACTTTTTTCTTGAACATAAACAGTTCCCCTCTAGCTCTGTACATACCCTCCAACATCAATGTAACCACAGCTGTCAAGGCAGCTTCACCTCTTTCTATGTATATTTTAGCTTTAATTTTTTCCCATGCTTTCACTTAGTAGACTTTTTTTTTTTTAAGGGGCCTAAACCTGTTCTCCTATTTTGTGGGCAAATTCATTGCAATAACAGATCTCAGTGTTTAGACATCTTTAAATATTATTATTAGCGTGCAAGAAATTAGAGACCTACATCAAGATCTGGAGGTTTGGGTTTTTTTTTTTTTAATTGAAAGCGAATTTCAAATCATAGTTTCCCTCATTCAAGGATCTCCAAGCACTTTACACAGTTAAATGAGTTCTTGTGGCCTCCTTTTGTACAAGCAGTCCCCCTTCCCACAGCTTCTGCAGAGCCTCAGCGGTCACCGGCCACGTATAGCCAGCCAGGGCGATGTGAGGGCCAGGACGCAGGAGCTCAGCGCAGAGGCATAGCGGTGGGCTGGGACTGGAGGGGCATGTGTCCCCTCCGGTCCCGGGGACGCTGCAGTGGGCAAGCGCCCCGTGTTCCCTCAGAGGTGAAACACCCATGTCCCCTCAGTGAAGTCTGCAACGTCCCCTCTGACGGGAAGCACCCATGTCCCCTCAGCAAAACACCCAACATCCCTTCTGAGGCGAAGCACCCATGTCCCCTCAGCGAAACACCCAATGTCCCCTCTGAGGGCAAGCACCCATGTCCCCTCAGTGAAACACCTAATGTCCCCT